GGCGGGGGGGGGGGGGGGGGAGGTTGGCAATCTATCTAAGTCTCTGAAAAAGAGGGTATAGACATCGAATTTGAATCAGCAAAAAATTTGCACAGTGGGTGCCACTGTTAGCACCCTTCCGCCTGGTATCCCTCAATCAGCTGATCGAAGGAGTAGGTCACAAATCAGATGCAAGCTCCATTTGGGTATTCTGGCAGCGACCCGCAGCTACTGTTAAAATACAGCGGGGGATTCATTAATCCATAATGTTCAGCGCGGATGGAGGAATATGTTGTATTTTCTTGGTTCAGCCCGTGGGTTGAATGAAAAAAACAACCATGTATACCTGGCTTCCTTTGATTTTCTGCTCACTAAGGCCAGGATGTATTTCTCAAACCAAAATTAGTTTTTCAACTTTTGAATATATTAGGGAATTGATAAAAAAATTGAATTTCTTGCCTTTGTGTCATGTTAAGATTTGCCTTCACTTCCTGTCTCAGCGACACGACAATAAGTGAAAGTTAATGTCTTCAATGCAAAGGGAAATCCCCTCTTAGATACAGTAGTCTTCACAGGAACAGATGTCCCGTTGCAGGATTTTCTCTCACCTCCTGCTATGACAACAATTGTAAAGTTTGGGTTGACAGTGATCACCAAGACAAGACCACAAATAGAAAGGGTGAATCTACCTAGCACGGACGCAAAGAGCAATATAGAAAAACCCGAGAGATGTTCTAACCCTACAACACTTTATCCAAAATTCAATTCAAACTAAAACATGGAAGTGACGTCAACCGCACCTGGGTGATACCATTGGAAGGGGTGACACCAAAATGACCACCAGGATGGCCGCCGTCAGGTAACACCGCGTGACGTAATCATGCCTGTGCACAATGAGGTCATGTGCATGCGCGATCTGGGTGACACCATGCCTAAGGATGCCCCTACATGGACTAAACCTTCAAAACTGCAGAGCTTAGAATTTTCTGTTGTTACTGGGCTATTGTGGTCTATATAATGTAGTGATGCCAATTTGCTATTGTTAAAAAAACCTAATTGTGATTGTGGGTTGAGGTTTAATAACTATTGCGAAACTGGGCAGGGGCACTCCATTAATTAGTTAACATGTACAGCATCTGTTCTCTGTTCAGTCCCACACCAGACGGGGGTGGAGGGGAGACCATAGTAGGAAGGAGTAAAGTTACAATGGAGCTTTGTTCTGTGAGCACAAGGCTGGGTTCCATCTCAAAGCAAGGCTTTCTGCGAAGGACAGAGAATGGTTTGAGAAACTGTTTCTGGAAGAGCCTAATCTGCATTTTCCTGTAACAAGAACCATTGTGTAGAGATGAAATCCTTGATACCTTTTTTTTATTGCATTTATTTGTGTGTTTTATAAGCAATACTGCATGTCATAGAACTGACATTTCAGTGCTTATTAAAAAATCATGTTACCCGACACGGACCCTCATCCATTGTTTTGTATTGAGAAGAAAATCCTCCACAATACTGCTCTTCTGACATACACATATACTGTATGTAAATGGTGGGAGTAGAGCATGTAAGCTTTCAAAATACAATTTCACTTATCTTCGTGATTAAAGTTAAAGTAAACACCCAATCACGTGCAAGAAATAAAGAAAAAAAGTTTTTTTTTCTTGTGCATAATTGGACATTTGATGTCAGCACAACTTTACCTCATTCAGTAAGCTCAGTGAATGTTCCCTTTGCAAGGTGAATTTTCACTTAGCTTAATACATGCAAAGAAGCTGGGCTGACTTCAGCCATCCATTCACAGTCCAGCAAAAATCCTGTTTTATTTTTACTTGCACATGACTGGGTATTCTCTGCAAAGTGATGTTTCAAGTTGTTTTACTTCACTTACCATTGAAATCAATGCATTGTGCAGGACCCCACTGTCGTGCGGTGTAGTGCCGGTGTGAAGCTAGCCTTAACAAATCTGAAGCAGGAAGCGCTGAGAATACAGCGCTTCCTACTCCATTGATATCACAGCAGATCAGAGAATAGACTTTCCTCGATTTGCTCCTGCTCTCCATCCTGTCACCCGCTGCCGTGGTCATGGGCCCCCCCATCCTAAAAAAAAACCTCCTAGGCGGCCCTGCCTGACACAATTGGTTGCTAGGATGCCAGCATTCTTAGCAACCAATGACTGAACTGGTCTTGGTTATGGCTGCTAGTGTATCCACTGTCAGCCAGCCATGACCCAGTGCAGGCCAGCAATTGCAGTCCGGACAGAACAGCCACTAGGTCCATGTCCAGATATGGGGAAATTTCACTTTGCAAAGAATACCCAATGATGTCCAAAGGAAATAAAACAATCAGAAATATTGCTTGTTTATGATTGGATGATGAAAGTCTCAGCAGAGCATCATCTCATTCATTAAGCTAAGAGAAAATTCCCTTGCAAAGTGCAAATTTGTTTGCAATGTGGACAGCCTATTTGCCTTAAGTAAATCAATCCCAAACAGTCAAAAACCAAGGTGTGTGGCTTGGTTGCTTTAATGTTTTAATCATGCGGACATGGTCGAGAGTTTCAATTCAATTCACCTTAACATTAGAATGGGTAAGTTGTGTAATATACTCTAAGCAACTTTAACCATCCAGTCATTATTAGTGCAAAATATGCTGCATCCCTTGGGATTTTTTTTGACGAGAGCATCAATGCTATGGCTAAAAACACCTTCCTAGTGAAGGACTTTGGATGACTGTCTAGAGGCTAAAATAAAGAAAATATACTCACCTGATCCTCGCTTAGCTGCTAGACTGGTTCCCACAACTTTTTCTCCCCTGGGCTCCAGCGATCTAAGGACCCATGACATCAACACGTCTAATGCAGCTATATTAGACGTGGGGATGCGGAGGGGGGAGAAAGTTGAGCACTGACCACCACAGGACATGAGGATCATGTGAGTATATTTTAATGATATTATCCCCTAGACCAAAACAAGCGTACTCCCCGCACTGCAAGGGTTAATTTGACATATTCTGGAGTTCTTTAAATAGGCAACAGCAGGAAAATGAGGCTACAAGGAGCACAAGGGTCACCAGAATTGAACTAAAGGCTGGGGAAAAAAACTGGCAAATTTTGAATTGTGCTATATTCAGATGACTCTGTTTAACTTACAAACCCCACTTCCTCCTACGGCTAAACCCCACCATTTACCAGTCCACGGTAGCCACACTGACCAGCAAGGCTCTAACACAGGTCTGTTAAACCATGGGATGTGTTTAGCTCTAGGAGGAACATGGCGAAAGTCCAAGCCCTATATGCAATGTATTGCCAGGATGCAGGATCTCCCTGGGCTCCCAGAAATCAATGAGAGAATTATGAAAGGTAGATGATGCCTGTATGCTGGTAGTATTTTTAGGTTGGCATATAACTGTGAGATGTGGGTTAAGCCCATTGATGTTCAGGTTTTATTATAGTCTAAAGATTGTTCTGTTTTCACATGTTCTTATAACTTTGCTTACCTCTAAGAAGTGGTCAGCTGCATCATGCAGGAGCATCACCAGAGTTCCCGCACGCATATAATTAGCACAATAGGAGAATGTTATCAGGAAGATGGTGGCAAAGTGATGTACTATCTGCTCCTTAAGGTCCTGTAATCAAGGCATCAAGACAATTGTATGTTAAAGAGAAGAAAAAATCTTCTGCAAGTCAAAGGTTACTTTATAGGTTATTTATTTATTTTCATACAAAAAAAGTGGGACTACAAACAAGGCACTAGCTGCTGTATATATATTGTTATTTTTCCTGTACAAATTTCTGCCCCTATTTCCTGTACTGAAAGAAAAACTAAACTCCATTGTATTGATTTAACAGCATCTTTGTATGTCCATTTCTGAGTCAAATTACATTATGGGGTTTATATCCACCGGCCGAGTGAATAACCCAGCCGAAGTGAAGTGAGCCGAACTACGTTTGGCTATTCACTCCAGCTTGGTACGGCTGATTTCAGCCGTAGATCGGCTAAAATCAGCTGTACATCGTGCTCTGCATGTTCCGCTGAGCTGAAGTGCAGAAGGACTGGATCCAACATCTGGATCGGCTGAGCCGAAGCTCCAGCGGCTCACTTGCTGCCGTTCGCCCCTATTCTCATAGGGGCCGAACAGCAGTGAGTGAATAGCCGAATGCCGCTGAGTAGCATTTGGCTTGGTTATTCTGCTTGGTACCTCCGTACTACCAAGCAGAATAGAAAATAGTTAAAATAGTTGGAAAAAAAAAAGTTAAAAAAATATTACAATTTTTTAAATAAATAGTGAAATTAAAAAATAAATAAAGATATTTAAAAGAAGAAAAAAACAAAACAAAAAAACAATTGGGAGGAGCTAGCAGTGACAGCTAGCTCTGCCCAACTGCTTTCTATTGGCCGGCAGAAGACTCTAGCAGGTCCTGCCCAATGAATATCAACTGTGCGGAGTCGGCCGTGACGTCACTAACGGCTCCGCCCAGTTGTTATTGTTTAATGACAGATCAGCGTCCCCAGGTCATTTGGGGACGCTGATCTTTCATTACAACTGGGCGGAGCCAGCCACGAGATCATTGCTGGCTCCGTCCAGCTGTCATTCGCTGGGCTTACGGCCAGCCTCTGGCTCGGCTGAGCTGTTCACCTGCCTTGGCTGCTGTACGGGCTACGTCTGAACCGAAGGGCTCCGGTGGCCGAAGAATCAGCCGAAGCTACGGCTGGATAAATCGGCTCCTTCGTGAATAACCCCCTATATCTTATGGTTGTGTTCACATTATTTGGATGAGCATCCTTTGTTGTGCCTTAGTGCTTCCGATCTCCTTCAGCTTCTTTGCAGACATTTTATTTTATTTTTATAGTATATAGGTGTTTAGTTCAGAAGTACAAACATCAGATATCCCCAAGAGATACATATATCTATTACCTAGATTCTGGGACAAGCCCCATGCAGAACATATCATTATGACAAAGAAAAATTTGAATATTTTCCCTTAGTATGTCCAAAAGCAAACATCAAATGAAGTCATGCAAAAAAGATATAAGTTGTGGAACCTTAACAACGAATGGAGCGGAAGAAAAGGAAGGGAAGAGAGGGGACAAGGTAAGAAAGAGCAAGTAACTCCTCAAGGCCTCCTCACTTGAAGCTACCATTTCAACTGAAGACAGGGTCATGTGCCTTTGTTCTTGCAAGTATTTATATACAGTGTATATATAGGCATAGAAAAATTAGATAGTTGATGTGCATGTTAGTAATATGATACTACTACTATAGGACAATATTTAATATTAAACCGGGGAATAAATTAAGCAAATTGGTGCATTTGTGATCATATCATGACAGTACACCTGCTATCTGAGAGCAAGCGATTCCAGTTTTTCCAGAATTGAGCCCATTGATAGTGTGCATTGGGGAAGAGCAGTTCGTAGGTAGAATGGGTATTAAGAATTTGTATCACAGATGTTAATGTAAGGTGTAGATGTTAAAAGAGTTTTTTTGTTTCCGTAGTCAAGCTACAGAGAGTGCTATTATGTGTGGGTGAGAACTTGGAGGAGGAGCTCATGTTTTAAAGTAAACATGTCAAGTGATCAAACAATTATATCATACTGCAGGCCACTATGTTTTTTGTGAGCTTGGGAATCCTCTTGATTCATAACTCACGTTTTAGATTGGATTAGCTAAGCCTTGCTTACACCGGCGCCAGGGCCGGTACTAGGATTTTTGCCAACACAGGCAAAGTTGAATTTTTGCGCCCCCCACCACCCAGCAATGCCCTATCCCCAGCCAACAGTGCAGTGAGGGGTCATCAGTGGTTAGTAGAGGCTTGCAGATTGGACTGAATGGGGCAGGGTGTGGTGAGTGCTTTGCAAAAAATCAGACCCTGTACATTGTGGGCCACAGAAAACTATTACAGGAATAGGGCCTGTTCACACCATCTCCAGACCAGTGCGTTTCTTATCTGCACCTAAATTGCATACACAGTAATTCCAATGGTTTTAAATGAGGTTCGTTCACACCATTGCGTTCAGTTCCATAGCGTTTTAAAAAAGTACAGCAGCATGCATTTTTTTGCACTGGAATGTGCAGAAACGCATATGCAGAAATGCATCCAGATCTGGTCTGGAGATGGTGTGAACAAGCCCTTAACAAACATACCTACATGTCCCTAAAGAGCACCAATTATCTCTTGCCAGGTTCACTTAACTTAAATTATGCACACATGTCCATTTGTGCAAATTATTTGATTTGACCAATGACTAATGACCAAGTGCCTGTAAAACGTGTAATATTGCTTCTCCGAACAAGAAGATGACTGTATCGTTATCGTTATTTGTTCTTTATAGCTACTGTACTCAGTATACAACTCCCTGAATTAAGTAAACATAAATACAACAGAAAATACTGCACTATAAAGATTACTCTACATTCTTCATAATGATGTAATATAATACAAATCTGCAAACATTTGCTTCAACATTCCTTTCATCTTATCTTTAGCAAGGCATATTAGTGTTTGCACTGTACTACAACCTGAAAGATATTATATAACATAAAGCAAAAATATTCAGTAGGTAGAACTATGCACGTTAGCAGAAATGACACAAGCTACACATACCTTTCTTTTTACATCAAAAGCTAAAGTGATGAGCATTGATGAGTAAAATCCCAGCTGCAGCATGTAATACCAGTACAAGGAGGACACCAATGGCTGTAGAGAGGTGAACCACAAACATATTCAATAAGATACAAAACATATTCAATAGCATACATATGAAATAAATAATTGCTACAGCTATATATTCCTCCATCTCCTAATATTATCGTTTACTTGAGGCCCAATCCCCTTTACTAAATGAGTAAAGTTCATCCAACTACACCAATCCTGGGATTGAAACTAATGCACTTATCAAAATTATACCATAGGTATAACACAGGCATCAGGGTGCTATTATAAGGGAATGTTTAGGAAGTAATATGTACAGATGGGAACATACAGTAGTTATCTGCCTCCCCAAATTTGTTCTATGCCCCGCATTGGTAAAAGTGTACAGAATATTTATCACACAAGTTACTGATAGAGTTAAAATCAGACTGCCTCTAGCAAATGATTTCCATCAATTTTGCATATATTTGTAACCCCTGTGCCTGCAATGCTGGTAGCCAACCACAATAGATTTGCAAATATCTGCAACAAGTGTATGCTATGGCAGGGGGAGGCAACCTAGCACTGCAGCTGTGATGAAACTGCAAACCCCATGTCTCTGCCTCTGAGAGTCATGCCTGTGGCTGTCAGAGTCTTGCAATACCTCATGATACTAGTAATTCCATAACAGATGGAGTGCTGAAGGTTGCCTACCACTGTGCTAGGACTACAATGATGAATAAATCGCTTTGCTAATCGGAAATCTAACTATTTGTTGGTAGCAGGTCCATATTTATCATTAGGCACAGTAGGCAAGTGCCTATAGAAAGCAGTTTTTTCCTATATAGTTACTGTGGTCACACATTTTTCGCCAATTTTCCCCATCCATCAGAGAAATATGATCATCTCACCTAAGCATAATTACACATTATGACAATATAGTAATCAGGTCAGGGCCAGTAAAACAAGACATTGGACAAGACATTGTGTAAAGTGGTAAAACAGAGGGGAGGGGTGCTACTTTGAGCACCATAGGCTGTGTGCCCACAGGCTCCATTGATGGAGAAATTAACCTTTATTAACAGAATCCACATTTGCAACACCTTGGTATTAATGTGCTGCTAATGTGGTGATGGACAACAAATAGCTAAATATCTCAGTAGCAAAAAGATTCAATTCTTGGTGTAGCTCTAGCTTTAGCAATACACTTATTTAATTAAAAATGATCAGGGGGGTCTAATATCTTAGCACATTACTACAAGGAATAGTGGAACACAGAATTGTAAGCTTTATATGGCAGTTGGTAACACGATAAATACCAAAGCATTGGTTACATGGTCTCTGTGGAAGGAGGGGGATCGTTTTTTAGGTAGATCTACAATCTTGGTAGTCTTCTCTGAAAGTCAGTCCCCCAGGCCCCTATAGAAGAAGCCAGATGTCTAGGCACTTAATTTACTTTGTGTTAGTTTAATACAGAAGGACTGTCAGACTAGATTAATTTTAATTTTGCCTATAGGTCTGCTTTGTGTTATTTGTATGGTACTTTAATTATTGTAACTGAATACTTATATTAGCATAGGTTAATCTGATCAGATAATTAGGCATGCACAGTAAGTATTGGGATGATGTTTAAGGAGAGTATAGATAATGCAGGGCAGTTGAACCAATGCTGCAGTATATATGGTTAGAAAATCTGCACATGCAAAATGTATCACATAGGAATACAAATATCATTCCAGCCCCAGCTATATCCAAATAAACTCCATCCAAATCTACTCATATTTGAGTAAACTATGCATGCTTACAAGGGTCACTAGTTTTGTGGTCTATCAAAATAATATTCAAAAATTTTAATTTTTATGTAGTAGGCTGGAAGTCAACTGAGTGGTTTTGCAGAGCTTTTGCACCCCTTCCCTGTTGAGTAACAGCAGTCAAAGCATCTAAGCCAGTTGCTGAGCAGTTGGCCACTCAAAACCGAGGCTCTAGCTGTCTTTCTGAGCACTATCAAAAACACTGCTGGGACTATACCAAGCTCAGAGCATAAAGTGCAATTCAACCAAGGTTAGAAATAGCTCCCCCTATTGAAAGACATGAAGGCTGGGTTGAATGTCAGAGGTGGCCAGTTTATGGCTTTGTGTGCTGTAGCTGTTAGAGGAAAATCACCTTGAGATGGTAACAAAGATATAAGCTTGCCAAGGAAGCAGTATAATATAAATACTGCATATACTTTAGCACAGCCATTCTCACCTAGGGTTCCTCCAAGGGTTGCTAGGGGTTCCTTGAGCTGCAGCTGATTGACTTCCTATCTGATGGTGTCTGCATGGGTCTGGATCCAACACCACTTGGTAAAGCCAGCAACATGACACCAATGGTCTTAGGCTGCCTGTAAGGGTGACATTCTAACCACCACTGTAAGGGGGGCATTCTTCCTGTTGACCCCCAACAAATAATTTTAGCAGGAGTTCCCTGACACCTAAATTTATTTCAAGGGTTGTTGTTGTGTAAAAAGGTTCAAAAAAACTACTTTAGTATGTAGCCCTATCACCTTTTGTGAGGTGGCTACTAGAAATGTAGTGATTGCCAGAGCTGTAGTCAGTCTGGGTGAATTATAGTTGGTATTTATCTGGTTAATTCCAGGTGTTCTTACATTGATTGTATCTGACTGAGTGAAGTGTGGCTCTGCTGTGGTGTGAGACAACCAATGGGGGACACAGAGTGAGTGTGTGTGCAGTCCACCAGCCAATCACTGGAGCTCTGATAGTCAGTTTTGCATGCTGGGACTCAGAGGGTCAGAGGGATTACCATGTGCTCAGCCTGGAACAGGTTAGTCCAGGTTGGGGTGTTGTCCAGCCTGCCCCCAGGCCAGGCCTGGAGGTGGGAACCCTTGAGTGCGAGAAGAGTTTTGCTAGGGCTCAAGTCTGAAGGAGGCCTTTGCTACTGATTGAGAAGAGGAACCAGGGAAGCTGATGGCTCCTGGAGGGCCGAGGCTGGGCGGCACAGAATCAGGCAGCAGCGGCTGCCTAACGAGGAAAACTATGCGGCCGCAAGGCCCTAAGAGAGGCTGCCTAATTAGAAAGCTGCCTGGTGGAGGGGAGGGCCCAGTGAGATGCGGTCCGGCTGGCTTTGTACAGGAGGTGGAGGAGAAGCAGCGGGTGGCTATAGCATGTGATCTGATGGCGGGATGTCCCAGAAGCAGGCTGGGGACTGCAATATATCCTGTTGGTACTGATGGCACTTTGAGCTGCAGGTAAGAGGATCAGCACATGTATGCAGGGAAAGGGACTATGCACAGTCCTCCTGAGACCCCATACAGCCCACCTGAGACCATGCACAGCTCTCCTGAGACCCCGTGTGCCCTGTATGCAGTGACTGACAGGTTGCGCTAAATTTCCTAAACAGGATGGGGTGGGACAAAGTTAGTTTGAGGAAGTGCCTGAGTTTAGTCTTGCCTAGGGCAGCACAAAACCAAAATACACCACTGACTGCAGGTAGTATGCAAAATTATTTGATATGTATGTTGCCAACAGATTTGAATGCATAAGGAAGACCAGCAAACCTGAATGATGGCATTATGCCTTAACTGTTTTACAGACAGTCATTCGTAATATAAATTTTGGGTTGTCAGAAGAAAATACCACTATCTTCCAGCTCACAGATCCTGACACAGATCCCAAAATATGCCCTGAAGTTACTTTGCTAAGCATTGAAACTTATTCAAGGAGTCACTATAGATTACTCTCTTTGAACACTCCTGCCCTCAGCTAAGGCATGTGCACAAACAATGGCATGATTAAGAAACATTGCCGAAAGCTTTCAGAGATCCAGTCAGGAAACAAACTGCTATGGATAGTGTGTATGGAAAAAAACTGCCCAGTATAACTGCACAAGCAGAATCATGCATCATACGCAATTCACAAATACAAATTTTTAATGCAGATTAAGGTCCTAAAAGACAAAATCTCCTTAACTGTGTACATCCTATAATTCTATCTGTCCTTTTTCTTTTAGATTGAGCCCCATGATTAGATGGGAAGTAACAAAACCCTTATTCCTGGTAAACACTATCTTGCTACTTTTCTAATCCTATTGGATCATAAAGAAGTAAATTGTTAGGGACCACACTTCATTGTGTGTGTCATTTGAGCAGCAAGATTAAAGGAGAACTATGAGGTGGGTGCTTTTCACTGACCTCATAGTTCTAGCCCACCTGTGACAATGAGACTGTCACAGGTCGGCTCAGTAGATCGGGAGGTGAGCGAACACATACCGGCGTTCGCTCACTTCTCGATCCTGTCACAGCTCTCTGCCGTGACAGGGGAGTGGCTGGATTCCCCCCTCCCCACTCCGATCCGCCAGCGCGGACAGGGGAGGGGGCGGGTACAGCTGGCTCTGCCTCTAGATAGGCAGAGCCAGCTGTCACTCACGCAGCTGGGCGGATCCAGACATAATTGTCGGGATCCGCTTCAGCAGCGGCGTCTCAGTATACCGCGAGCTGTAGCTCGCGGTATACTGAGCTTAGGGTGACGGGAGGGCGCTAGTTTGTGTCCTCCCGTTACCCTAAGGAAAACTATGGGGAAAAGCCCTAACCCCATAGTTCTCCTTTAAGACCTGGTTCACACCGGGGCGTTTTAATGCGCGTTCCTACGCGCTGTAAAACGCTCAGCTTGTGAAAACCAATAATTGTCTATGGGTATGGTTCCCACCTGGGCGTATTTCAGCGCGTAGGAAAGTGCTGAAAAACGCCCTACGCCCAAAGAAGTACAGGAGCTTCTTTGGGGCATATTTTCCGCGCGTATCCATTAGGATACAGCCGGACAGCCCTCGTAAACGCGCGTTTGTCACGCTTTTCTTTTACCGCAAATCGCTGTAAAAACGCGCCGCAAACGTGCATATTCTGTACGCCCAGGTGTGAACCCAGCCTTAGGATCATCTGCAAAGAGACAGACTGCTACCCCTATACATAATTGTGTAAAATGCCATAATAACAGTAGCAAATGGTTGATCTACCACCATCTGATAGACTAAGTATGGAAACACCCTTTATGTGTGTTAACTTTGATGTCTTT